ATCATAGGGGATAATTTCACGGATGGCTGCAGGGTTGGTGATGGTGGATAACACGGTTTTTAAAAGATCTCTTCCAACCCGAAAAAAGTAGAGGAAGGAGAGCAACAGTACGATCAGGAAACCCAGGTAAAACCCAAGCTGTAGCGCCACGATCTTCAGTATAGACGATGATTCATGAAACCACTGAAACCGGACGGCGATCACTGAATAGAAAAACAGGTACAGCAGGGGCAGCAATGAATTGTTCATGCAGTACTTCAGGAAAGCCTGCCGCGCCGCGCCGATAAAGGGAATCCGCTTACTGTGGATGATGAAAGTGGTAATATGCCACGACATGGTGAACATGCCCATTGCACCACCCAACAACAACATGCTGACAAAGTTGATGCTCCCCTGGTATTCAGGTGCCAGGAACAGGGTGGCGGCTCCGAAATTCCGCGCAAAATGACCGGTGATCACCAGGCTAAGCAAGAGCCAGAAAAACAACAGTAACTGGTATTTACGGAAGTGCAGCAAGAACAATTGCACAGGAAGAAACCTGTACAATCTGGAAACCTGTTGCCGGATTTTTTGCCCTCTGTTGTTCAATAAAGAAAGCTACGTAAAAAATAAATAGCATCGATATTTAGGCACCAGCCTTATTCCTGATACCATAGAGATTCACCACCATAGCTACCAGCAGGAACATTGCTACCAGCTGATGCGCTTCTGCCAGGTACTCAAACGTACCGAAATGCCCTGCCATAGTATTGGTTGCATTCAGAACGGTCAGCACACCGAGGATCACTTGCAGAATCACCAGTATTAACGGCCATTTACGGGCGCTCCCGACCAGGGATCCACGTTGTCTGCGGGCATATTTACCAGCCACTAAATACCAGGAAATGATCAGCCCTGTAAGCACATAGGCAAGGGTACGATGCATGAAATGAACGGCTATCGGGTGTGAGAGGTATTGGGTAATTCCCTGGTAAGTCTGGTTGCCATAAGTATGAAAATCACCGGGTAACCACTGCCCGTTTACAGAAGGCCAGGAGGGCGCTGTTGTGGCCGCTTTTAAGCCCGCCATAAAGGCCCCGTAGGTCAATTGTATCGCCAGCAGTCCGATGGTGATCATTGTAAACAGGAAAAAGTTTTTGTTGTAAATCCTTTTTTCAGCAGGCACCAGTAACATCAACGCAAACCAAAGCGTATAACAAAGCAGTACCAGTGCAGCCATAAAATGGACGGCCAGGCGGATATGACTTACGTAAAGATCGGTATCATTGAGCCCGCTCTTCACCATAATCCAACCGATTGCACCTTGTAATCCTCCCAGAATGAATAGAATAACAAAAGGGAAGACCATTTTTTTGTCAAAATAGTTCTTCACAAAAAAGTAGATGAACCCTATGATAAAAACGAAGGAAAGCACCACCCGCGCCCATTCACGATGCAGCCATTCCCACATAAAAATCTGCTTGAAATCGCTGAGTTCAAAATGTGCATTCAGGTACTGGTATTGAGCAATTTGCTTATATTTGTCAAAGGCGATCTGCCATTCGTTTTCATTGAGCGGCGGCAGGATACCCATAATCGGTTTCCACTCTGTAATACTTAGCCCGGAGCCCGTTAACCTTGTAATACCGCCCAAAAGTATCTGGACGATAATGATCACAACACCTGCCAGTAACCACCTGGCTACGGCACTCTTTTTTTGCTGCTGACTGATAGATGACACTTAGGGAAATTTGCCTGCAAAAGTAAAGCACAGAACAGAACTGTTGAGAGAGATTATTTTGGGATAAAGCAAGATCAATATTCAGGCGTAGCAATGTCAAAAATAATGGAATACG